GGAATATTTTTATACATAGTCTATTTGAGAATAATATTGTATCGCCCATTTAGTATCTGGTACAACATAGTAAGAATCTATTCTTAGTTATCTTATTCTTCTTTCATGAAACAGAAGTATATTAGAAAGAAAAGTAATAAGGGAAGAAGCAGGTGTTCTGCAAAAATTAAAAAAGAAAAAAACAAGATAAAAAGGCCACAGAACAGTCGGCCGCTCTCTATGCAAAGTAGAGAGCAAAATATACTTATAGCCCAATTCTCTTTAGGCTAAAGAGAAATAAAAAAGTAAAGAGAAATAAAAAAGTTATCTTTTTTCAGACAAAGAAATCAGACAACTATCTTATCCCAAAGAAATAACAAAGAAGAAAAATGGTCCTTAAAAATCCTAGCATTCCTTCCCAAATATAGCAACCATAAACCAGCAAAGAGCACTCCTCCCAAAGCAACCTATCCTCCTTTTTTCTTCCCACAGTCTACAAAGAAAAGAGACAACAAACACTCAAGGTTCACAGGAGAAACTCAACAAATACAAAAGATATCACAGAGTCACATTGCTTTTCCTATTCTTAAGAATTGTTTATAAATATCATATACTATACAATGAACATAAGATCAAAACAAACTCACCGAACTAAAGAACATCAAACTATACTTCTAAGGTAGCAGCTAGAATTCCTTTTAGTTACAAACTATAACAAATCTGTAATGGTATGAGACCCTATCATTATTATGGGCATGAAGGATAAGATACTTAAAAGAATTCTGAGTTTCAAACAGCAAGTCACTGCACAACAAGAACTTTAGTTTCAAATATAACCATGAGTGATCTCCTCACACACACAACAATGATAAAATCATGAAAAATGCCAATGCTAAACCTAGGAAACACTATCAGTGTTAGTTTTGTCTTTTCTAATGGTTTATAGTACTTAATCTCCATAAAAGTCTCATCTTTTCTTCCCTTGTATTAAGATTTGGAAGAGTTAAACCTATACAGATTTTTTTAACCAATCTGTTGCACCCATCAATCATAAGTTCCTTAGTTTAGTCCTTCCAACTAATATTATAATAGAATCCAGAAACCTTCTTCATCTTTGGTGTTGACATCTAGCCTCAGTTCCTCCAACAAGTATTTGCAGACTTCAGTCTTCCCCTCTCTTGCTGCAAAATGAAGAGCCCCTCGTTTATTTGCGTCCTTAATATCTGCCACGGTTTTCAACATTCCTTTCCCCTCATCTAGCTGCGCTGCTATGTCTGCTCCAAACAAATATTAACCAACAAAACCTTTTAAAACAAGATTCAATTTGAAAATAATAATACCCATTTCATCTAGATAGTCATGAACTGAAATTAAACTTACTCTTAAGAAGATCAAGGTTCCCAATACGAGCAGCATTTAAGAACTGCTGCACTTTCTGTCTGACTGTTATCCACAAATCAACACAATCAGGGGAGTAAGTAACAGTTGAATCTTCCCATCAAACTCCGAAAAAGAAAAAAAAAAAAAAAAGCACGGACACACGCGTATACAAGTTGAAGGGTAAAAAGGAGATGTGATCAAAGAAACATCGATGAAAAGCAACAAACTTTCATCTCCAATTCAGTTCAAAATC